TTTTTTTTTTCAAGTTTTTTTCTTTTTCTTTTTGTAATAGGGCACCTATGCTTGCCCGAGAGAAACAGAAATAGAGGTAGAGAGGGAAAGTGAGAAATCACCCCAAACCTGTTTATTAAAGCAACACAAACTTGATTATCTAGAAAGACACGGAAACTGAAGAGTCTTCATAGCAAACACTTGTGTCTCTTGTCAACTCCTCACTGCTAAGTAATATGTTTATGCCTCACCTCGTGTCTGAACTAGTATCAGAAATTGTCCCCAGATAGCAAAATAATCCTTCCGCAATGTTTGGAATTAATCTGTTATCCTGTCTGTCTGTTTTCTCAATGAAATACAGAAGAATCTGGGCTACTCCCTGCTAAAACTGTATATAGTTCTTCCTTAGTGCGAAGGCCTAATTCCCTTAAACTGACTAATTAAAAGGCATTAAGAAAGGTAGAGTCCAATTTAGAACTTCTTCACTTCAGGGAGCTCCAAACGCCACTTTACATTCTCTCTTTTGCTCTTCTCTTTAGAGGTGAAGTAAAATCTCCCTTTTCCTCTTTTCTGTTTCTTAATTTTTCACATCACACCACATTGTTTTTAAGTTGCTCAGCATCAGAGCTGGATTAATGAAACAAGTATTTGAAGTGACAGAACTAGAGTTGAAGTTGAACAAGAGGTTCATTTCTCTTTTTTTAATACAGGTCATGTCGATTTTTCTCTCTTGGTGTGTGAGATTTCTGAAGTCATTTTGTTTTTCATGGGTAAACATAATCCTACTGGTGAGAGTGCTTTGCCGAGGTGACTCAGCCCTGAGTCCTCGCTCATTGATCCAAGCACAAGAAGCCTGGGTGAATGCCAAAGTGCAGCAAGCTGTTAGCCCCCTCCTGAACTTCCCATAATTCATTTGCCTCTTGATCTGAATGTTTTCTTTTACCGGGGGGTGGGGGTAAGCATTTTTAAAGATTAATTTTAAGTCTCTTTACTTTCATATAGAAAACGTCTCCTGCAAAGATCTGTAGGTAAGTTTTAAAAAACTCTCTAAAATATAAGATTTAACCTAATTTTAACTTGGACCATAAGCTGTTTGTTGAAGAGTCATACTGTGGGAGCTGACAAGGCATTTATCATGAACACTCATATATCCTTATTTTGTGTCTTATTTTAAAATTTATTCTCTTTTTTTTTAATAGTTTATTTTTCAGTGGGGGGGGAACAAACCATGCTAGATTTCAGCCATTGCCCCAAATGTTAACTGATAGTTGTGCAATACTGATGAAATGAAATGGAAACCATGGAAATGGCTTAACATTTAAAAAATAATGTTTGCAGTTTATTGGATCTTTAAGATTTTCCAGAGTGGGCAAAGCACTGCCCTGTGAGAGCTGGGATTTTCTTTTTCTTTCTTTCTTTCTTTTTTTTTTTTTTTTTTTTTGAGGGTTTTATT